AAAAAAAATAATAATAATTCTGTCACAGTCCTCATATTTTCCTTTTAAGTGCATGATGATGGCATGTAAGAAACATTGTGATTTACCAAATTTAATAATGCCTTCTTGTATTTGGGAGGTGTTAGTAAATGGAGATGATGATTTTGCAGAAGCCTCGCAACCTCTGATACTCATCGTATTGTTGCTTCCAATCTGGATCCCGCTGGCATTCTGAATGAAGAGAGATCCTGGAAGAAGAATGATGCCAACACAGAGTTCAGTCACCACAGTGTGTATTTAAATAGACAAAGCTACTAAAAACATACATTTGTTCCACATACCTGAATCTTGCAGGGAACCACAGGTTGTAGAGGTCAAAAGACGCCCAGGGGTTATGTCAGGGGCAGCGGTGTCAGACACAGGGCACATGGGCCAAGACCGCTGTCGGTCATAGTGTGTGTGTGGATGATGCTGATTAAAATGAGAAGGAGAAGAGGTGGTGGCAGATATGGGCAAATGAGGCTGGTTAGGCAAGGAGGAAGCCATGGACTCATAAAGTCCTGAGGTGGGGCGATGCCATGCATCCTCCTGGCTGATGATCTGAACTGGTTCTCCTTTTGTCCCGGAATGGACAAATGACATTTCCTGGACTGGCTGCCTCACAGTGTTATCTGTGACACTGCAACAGTTTGGAAAGAGAAGATTTGAGGTATTTTTATGAAAGCAGTTGGCAGCTTCGGGCTGGGCGCCACAAAAATAGCTGCCGTGTTTGTGGTACTGAAGCTCCCGGTCCAGTTTCTCCTCCAGCTCTGAAGGGCTGCTCAAAACTTTTGCATCTGTCTGAAGAGAATCTTCACATGGTTCATATTGGATGTCATGCAGGTCCTCAATACTGGCTTCAACTGGCATAGATACAGCTTTTTCTGAACTCACCAAAGGAGCTGGACGATCTAACAAATTGGGAGAGATTAAAGCCAAAAAGATGATTGTTTAAAAATGTTGCAAATATTTCTGAAAATTCAAACACTGAATGTAAAACAGCACATGAACGTGAACATCAGAGTGTCGATGTCAGGGCATCTGCAGGTTTTAGCAAGTCAAATTTAAGACTTTAAGACCTTTTCAATACCACCTTGAATAAAATGTACGACTGAAAAACCTATAAATATAGGCGATGTTTTGGGGATCCTGCTTTATTACAACCAATCACAGCATGTGTGTCACTCAATGAGACACATTCGAGTTGAGTTTTTGTCCGTTTATTGAACATAAAGAAATATTCAGTGCTCTCTGGTTCCGTAGCTGAATGTACATGTGCAGTACTTTGGTCGGAAACATGAAACAAAAAAAGACATCTACTGAATACACTCATGGCCTGAGGCTCACTTGTGTCGTAATCTCCAGTTTTGCCTTCATATGCAAAGATGTCATCCAGCCAATTGTTGATACATTTGAACCAACAAGTGATTTAGTCACAGAACAGCTAACTAGCAAGCATTTATATATCAGCAGCTAGTAGAAAGTAGCCTCAATCGCCTTGAATCACAGTCGGTTTGAACCATACTGTTCCACGGGGGGGTGAGGGTCGGGGCGGGTGGGGGGGATGTTAGGGTAGCAGGGTGTCCTTGGAAAAAAAGTACTGGAAGTGCTGACTGGAGTTTTCACCTGCAGTTTCTCTCTGCTCTGGACTCACCATGTTTCAGACACCTGGACCCGCCCTGCTCTGCTCTGATTGGGTAAAACTATGACTCTGGTTCTCTTTATTGGTTCAAATCAATTCAGTTCTGTTTATTTATATAGCGCCAAATCACAACAAAGTCGTCTCAGGGCACTTTACAGGCACATTCACATACATAAAAGCCAATTAGTAAAGTTCTCTATCTAAGGAAAGGTTGAAAGCAGTGTCAGTTTAATTGATCTATCTTTATTAGATTGGATGGTTTTAAACACGATGGCTTTTCCCCCCTGCTCAATTTTTACAGATGGTGGACATTTGCTGTGGTGACGTATAACTTAAATGAATTTAAGATGTTTTAAGGCCTTCATTTCAGATAGATGAATTTGTATATGCAGTGTATTGAGAGAGTTAAGATTACTTACCATGTTCACTCATCAAACTACATTCACAGGTCATTGATAATGATTTCATCTTTTCAATAAGTTCATCTGGGCCTTCATATTGTAGCTGTAATAAATAACATACACCAAATAACCAAATACTCAAAACTTATATTTATCTGCAAACTGTAACTTAAGATTTGTTGCTTAGCATCTACATGAAGTACTTCACATCATTAGCAAAAAAGTCTAGAAGAAATATATTCACCTTTAGCTTGCATATGTCTTCCTCTACATGTTGTTCAAGTGTTTCCATGTAGAAAGGAAGAAAAGAGTTGTAGGCCTCTGCAAAGAAGGGAATCAAGAAGAGAAAATCAATAAGCGTTAGGAACGAAAGCATCACACACTTTGTATTCTGGAGATTTTTCAAATGATTTGTAAACTGAGCAAAAAACATAAAATAATGTCAGTAAATTAATTCCATAATTCTGTTAGTCGCACACAAAACAAAAGAAAAAGAGTGTTTAAAAACAGAAGTCTTCTTCCTTTGCTTCTGCTTTCCTCAGGTTCTTTAAAATATCTCTGTTAATGAATGCTCTGCATCACTGGACTCTGTTGTTTTCCACTAAATGAATTGTTTCTGTAGACACTAAAAAAAAAAGGATACCTTTAAATATTGGTCTTTGTTGAGGATCGGGATCCCAGCATCTCTTCATAAGCTGAATAATCTCTGCAGGCGTGTCCTCTGGAATGAGGTGCTCTGCTGGTCGATCACCTTTGCAAACACACTGGCTCACGTGCTCTTCACTCCTGGCATCTGAACATATTGGGTTTGAATACCTGCACTAGTGCAACAGGGACTCACTGGTTGTGCATCTTATAAATCTCAGCATACTCGCATATGGTTCTTGCCCCGTGAGAATGACCCAAACCACGATGGCAAAGCTGTACACGTCAGATTTCTCCGTGGAGGGTGTATGGATACTTCTCAGGTGCTCCGGCGCCATGTAGCATAGCGTGCCAGCTCCTCTCAGCCCAGCTGACGGACCCGTATGACTCCTCCTGCGAGACTCCTGCTTTGTGAGCTTGCTCCAAGTCTGGCAGGTGGCCAGGCCGAGATCAGCAATCTAAAACGCACAAAATGAAAGATTTTAGTGATTTTCAATTAAACAAATAGGTTTTTTTTTTTTTTTTTTTTTAAGAAATACAAAAGAAACAAAATGCACCTTGATGTGAAAATCCTTATCTACTAAAATGTTTTCCGGCTTGATGTCCTTGTGGATGACCTGTCTCTCTGTGAGGTACACCATCCCCTCCAAAATCTCTAAGATGATCCTTCCTTTGACGGACACTGGAACACTGACCTAAACCCCTCCCACAAAATTTAGTTTTTTAATACAACAATTAAGACTTTTACATTTTGAGAAAGTAAATGCTTCTATGTTCTACGTGTGATTGGACGTTTTAGACCGACTGACCGTTTCCAGCATGACCAACAAGTTTCCTCTGGGGAGGAGTTCCATAACTAGAGAGCAGTCTCCATCCTCCATAATGACACCGAGCAACTTGACCACACGCTCGTGGTTAAGGCTCGCCATGATACTGCCCTCCTCCAGCAGCGACCTTTTATTGTCTCTGAAAAGTATAGAGAACACAGAGAAACACAACGTTTGAATCAAGCAACTTCCAGAACATGCATCATTCAGAATCTTCACAAGAGGCAAAAGGTCTAAATTGCTAAATGTAAATTACACGTTTATGACAACGTTAAAGAGGTGAAACAATCTGTATTTAAACAAAAAACGATTAGATAAATAGCTGTAAGGCACAGCGTAAATATTCCAAATATCTAAGTGTAGCAAAAAAGAAGTGTCGTTATAGAAGTCACAGCTTTAAAGTATATTTAACTTCTGCCTTATTTACAATTCAATTAAAATCCATATAAATTTATATAAAATTACCACAGAAAACTCAGTACAGCAGATTTTACATTTTAATTGTATTTATTTGCATAATGAGCAGATTAGTTAACCTGAAAAATTGACAGAAATGTACGTCTTAATGACTTGGGGGACATTTGTTGTGTTGTGTTATGTAATAATGTAATTATTACTGCCCACTGCCGTGAAAGATGAACTTCAGCAAAACATTTCATCAACCACTGAATGGACTTTAATAAAACTCTTAGAACGTAATCATTGATGCATTTTTAGAGTCAGTACAAGTCAAGATGGCCACAGTTATTTGCCTTTAGAAAATACAAAAATGGCTGTAAATCTATCATTTTTACACTTAGCTTAAATTTTGTGTGGTAGTAGCTGAGCATCACCCCTATGTACACCAAGCACTGACAGACTGCATGAAATATGTGTTCAAACTGCTGGAGATATGCATCAAGGAATGCTATTTTCATTTTACCATTTGATATAATATAATGCTCCAGGCAGCTTGTACATGTTAGAGATGCTGAAAAGACACTGCAAAGTAAACATGTGTACATCCTTGATGAGCAGAAGGATGCACAAAGAGGAGACTAGGATGAGTGAAAAAGAGGAATGAGAAGAGCTTAAAACAAGTAATTAAAAAAATATAAACAAAAACAACCAAGTTTAAGGTAGAGACATCCTTCCTTTGAGCGTTTTGTTATTTTTTGACAGTTTCTCTTTCCTGATCTGAATTCCTGGACATGAAAACATGCAACGGCAGCACGGTGGCACAGTTGGTAGAGCGGCCGCCTCTCAGCAAGAAGGTTGCCAGTACAAATCCCGACCGGGGGCCTTTATGCGTGGAGTTTGCATGTGCTTTTGGTGCATGCGTGGGTTTTCTCCTGGTACTCCACAGACCAAAAACATGCATGTTAGACTGATTGGTAACTCTACAAATTGTTCCTAGGTGTGAGTGAGAGAGTGAATGGTTGTTTGTCTCTATGTGTCCCTGTGATGGACTGGAGACCTGTCCAGGGTGCCCCCTGATTCTTGCACAGTGATGGCTGCACATGGGCACCGGTGACCCCCGCAACCCAAAAAG